TTTTTTTTAGATTTAATATCTAACACTGAACTCTTTTCTGCAGAGTTTGCCGCTGAACCCCAAGCCCTTTCTGAACGGCCTCACGGGAAAGCCTGTGATGGTGAAGCTGAAGTGGGGTATGGAGTACAAGGGCTACCTGGTGTCGGTGGATGGCTACATGAACATGCAGGCATGTCTGATTATAATTCACGCTTTATAAATCTATCAGTCATTGATGCTGGTGTTTTGATCAGCTACATACAATATCCATAGCAAAGTAGCGGGTCATAACATGCATGATATCCAGTTAAATTTAAATCCATGCTTACATCTATGTTTATATTGATTGCTATAGGTTAAGCAGAACGTTGTCAGTAGTCCATATGGATTAATTGAGCTCTGTTTCTCTGATTATATCTAGCTGGCCAACACAGAAGAATATGTGGATGGAGCATTAGCGGGTCATCTTGGTGAGGTGCTCGTCAGGTAAGGTTTTCAAATTAAACTCAATTTACAACTCTGTAATATCAGAAAATGCATTCTTAGATTTAAATAATAATGATTTTGTTTCCTTTTTCTGAAGGTGTAATAATATTTTGTACATAAGAGGAGTAGAAGAAGAGGAAGAAGACGGCGAGATGAGAGAATGAAGAGTCACTTGATTTCTGTTTCTAATCGGATTGGATGATTTATTGGTTATTTAGCAGTTTGTCTCAGTTTTATGTCTCTTTTCCTTGTAAAATTGTTAGTTATTTTTTACACTGTAAAAGTTATTGGTGGCACAATGACAAATAAATTGTGCTGTTTGTATGTTTTTGTTGTCATTTCTTTGGCTGGCTGTAATATTTAAAGTCCACGTGAAATTAAAATGGACCCTATTTACTTAATGCAACAATTCATAAGTGCATGTTATTCCAAAGAAAAATATTGTTTGTCTTTGAATGAGATTTCGTGTTTTAGCAAACTTTAATTCGGTGTTTTAATGCCATATACAGTCTCTGGTAATACCAATTATCCAGTTAAGTACAGAAGGAAGACCCACCTTGTGTCTTTTTCGTTATCAATTAATAACAAGTTTCACTTGGTAATAATAGGTCACATTAGTAAAGTGGTTAATGAATGCTAAAGTTCACTTTAAGATTAGGCCTATTCAGCATGCCTTTCTAATTTTCTAAATTATCAAATTGAATTAATTATCAATTACATTTCTAATTAAAGTAAACTACATGTATTAATGTTTTATCTCACTATTAATTTAGCCTATACAGTTTGGTATTAATCTTTCTGAGGATGTAAAATCATATTCTGTTCCCCAGTAGTCACTCCTGCTATTTTAAATAAACTAATACATTCAGTTTTAGACAGATTTGTTCTGGGAAATTACACAGACGAGAAGGAGAAACATTTCTTCCTGTTATTTTGCCTATTATGAAGGTTTTAGGACATGTTCAAACCTAACTAGTGCAATGCTTTCTGCGTTGTTTGAAAACAAAGGTTAAATTTTTTGTGTGTGATAAAGTGAGGCGAAACTAATACTAATAAAATAAGTTTTTTATTACTATTATTTTTGCTGTATTATGTAATTTACATAACTTCGTCCAAGTTACCCAATTTTTGGCTTCGCTTAATATTTACCCACTTTTTTTTATCCCTGAGCTCTGCTCTGAATCACTTGCACCACAGTTAACCTAACAATGTCTGCAAGCAGTTTCAGACTTTTAGTCAAGAGTGCAACACAAGTGGTCTTAGTTTGTAGAAATGGTGAAAAGTATCTTACCAGAGATGGGATGCAGACGCTGGCTGTCGTTGAGAATGGCAGTGTGCTGATTGGACAAAGTCTTCACTTATTCATTGTGTGATGAATTCAGCTTGTAAATAAACATTTGGCAAATGTTCATTTTTCGTTAGCATATCTTATACGTCACATTTATTGTATCTTTGTAAACAATAAGCCATTTCTTATAGTAAGTTTATGTTTAGGATAGAATACTTACAGTTTTTGTAGTAACTGTATATGAATGAAATATAGAAATGAGAAAAATCTATCTTGGGGACGTCCTCAAAGAAAAAAAGATAAGTATATAGTATGTCATTTAGCCGTGTGTTTGTGTGTAGTGATGGACTAATAAAAGCTGTTGGACCGGCAGACATCATCCAGTCTTAGTTCAAAGGAGCAAAGTTTGACAGTGTTCTGGATGCATCTGGCATGTGTGTTCTCCCTGGTAAGTGTTACATCTACCACCCAAAATAAAAAGTTTGACCATTTCTGTTGACAATTCCTTTAAAAAAAAAAAAAAAGCTGAAAGAATCTTCACATGTTTCAGGTCTGGTTGATGCACACACACATCCAGTATGGGCCGGAGACAGAGTGCACGAATTTGCCATGAAGGTTTTGCTCTCATTTAAGTCCATCTATCTCTCCTCTTACATTTTTTTAATTGAATGAATATATCTTTAAGTCTTGGTGTCAGAGAAGTTATCTGAATGAGTATCTTAACATCAAAGCATCTTAACACATGTGATGAAGCATTATCATTGTGCCCTGCTGTGTGTACAGCTGGCCGGTGCCACATATATGGAAGTGCATGAAGCAGGAGGTGGAATCCATTTCACAGTGACACATACTTGCTCAGCAACCTAACGTCTGGAGCGCATGATGAGAGCTGGAACCAAAGTGTAAGAGTGGATATGGTCTTGAGCTGGACACTGAACTCAAGATGCTGAGGGTGATCAATTCAGCCACAAACTCACTGCCAATCGGGATATCAGCAACATACTGCGGAACCCACGCAGTGCCCAAGTACAGTCTTTACAAAAAGATTTTACCATATACTAAGCTGGTCTAAACTGTTTTTTTTTAATACAAAATATGTAGATGTAGTTTATACATATTTTTGTATCATGTTTTTACAGTCCTAAAATTGATTCTACTACCAAATCATCATATTAGAATCATGATTCTAAAGGATAATGTGACACTGAAGACCGGAGTAATGATGCTGAAAATTCAGCTTTGCCTCACAGAAATAAATTAAATTTTAAAAAATATTAAAATAGGAAACCGTTGTTTTAAATCGTAATAATATTTCACACTATTACTGTTTTTGCTGTATTTTTTTATTAAATAAATTAACAAATCTTACCAACCCCAAACCTTTAAACAGTAAACAACTCTTAATTTGTGTAACATCCATTTTCTTTCCCCACTCAGAGGTAAAACTATGGAGGAAGCCACACAGAACATTGTGGCAGTGCAGTTGCCCAAGATAAAAATGCAAATTGCTTCAGGTGAACTGCAGGTGGACAACATTGATGTATTTTGTGAGAAAGGTGTGTTTGATCTGAACTCAACACGTTGCATACTCCAAGCTGGCAAAGATATGGGCCTCAGCATCAACTTGCATGGCGATGAACTCCATCCCATGAACTCGGCACATGTATGCATGCATACTCACATACTTTCTTGCACACACATGCTTGAACATTCAAATGGTGTTGTTCTTAAACCATCTGTGTCTCCTCTTTGTCCTCCAATCTAATAGCTTGGGGCAGAACTTGACGCTTTAGCCATCAGCCATTTAGAAGAAGTGACAGATAATGGAATTGCTGCGATGGCAAAAGCTAAAACATCAGCGGTCCTCCTGCCCACCACTGCCTATATATTACGGTAAATAGCCACAATGATAATGTGCTCACCCCTCAGACTGACCGTGTCTTGTCTTTCCCATAAAATAGGGATTTGATTCTCCTTGTGTCTGTGGAAGGCTTGCTCCACCACGTGCAAGAGATATGCTTGATGCAGGAGTAATAGTGGCTCTTGGCAGTGACTTCAACCCCAATGCCTACTGCTGCTCAATGGTGACCATAAGACTCAAAACTTTTCTGAACAAAAGTTATCAGTAGAAATTTGACCTGACCACTCCATTTCATTGTTTGTTTATTAGCCTATGGTGATGCACTTGGCCGGTGTGCTGATGAAGATGTCTATGCCAGAAGCTTTGGCTGCAAGTATACTGTAAATGCAGCCTACGCTCTCAACCGTTCACATATGCATGGGTCGCTTGAAATTGGGAAACAGGGAGACCTTGTGATCATCAATGCACCACGGTTAGATCATATCCATACAGTACCTAGGGATCTTCGAGGGCAACTGCTGAATAGTTATGTTCACAAGTTGTTGGAATAAGGCATAAAAATAGTTCAATATACAAAACGGTTATTATAGTTAATTAAAACTAAAATATAAAATGTTATTTGAAATAAAATAAACATTAACTGAAATAAAGTTAAACATAAAAAAACGTATTTTATTTCAGCTAGTGGCCAAATCAACATTTCTCAGTTTTGTTTAGTTCAACTAAGTACTAAAATATCTCAAATTAATTTAACTTAAACGAATAAATAAAAATGAATGAAAACTCTTGACGTATTAAAAAACAACAAATAAAAATGACAAAAACACAACAAAATAATTAAAATGAGTGAAAACAGAAGATATAAAAATAAAATCTAATAAAAAATATGAATAAAACTATAATAGTATATCAATGATGATAACATAACACTATAAAATCAGTTATTAATATTCAGATAAACAGGTTTGGATTATAACTGGTGCTTGATGGGACTTGATAAGGAGGTTGTTAGAATTTGAGATCTTTCCCTCTGTTGCAGGTGGGAACATCTGGTCTACCAGTTCGGGAGCCATCAGGAGCTCATCAGATATGTCATAATCAAAGGCGAGATTGTTTATGAAAATGACAAAGTCTTGAACCTTTGAGGATCCTGCACCACGACCAGTCCCTCAATAAATCGACACAAGATTATGTGGTAAAATTTTTATTACCATGGTTAGTAAACCACATGGAACCATCCTCAATGATAAGATTAAAAAAAACGTTTTGTTGATAAAAATACATAATTTGTATAAATATTCACACAAATTAAAGGTCATTCTATTTACAAAAGCTGTATAAAATCAAACAAAATGTGACCCTGGAGCACAAAACCAGTCTTAAGTCGCTGGGGTATATTTGTAGCAATAGCCAAAAATACATTGTATGGGTCAAAATTATAGATTTTTCTTTTATGCCAAAAATCATTAGGATATTAAGTAAAGATCATGTTCCATGAAGATATTTTGTAAATTTCCTACCGTAAATATATCAAAACTTAATTTTTGGTTAGTAATATGCATTGCTAAGAACTTCATTTGGACATCTTTAAAGGCGATTTTCTCAATCTTTAGATTTTTTTGCACCCTCAGATTCCAGATTTTCAAATAGTTGTATCTCGGCCAAATATTGTCCTATCCTAACAAACCATACATCAATGGAAAGCTTATTTGTTCAGCTTTCAGATGCTGTATAAATCTCAATTTCAGAAAATTGATCCTTATGACTGGTTTTGTGGTCCAGGGTCACAAATTGTTTTGTATCAGTGTGTCCTTCCATCTCCAAAATGTTTCTGTCATCGTAAAGGAAATGCACGGTTTAGTACCAGTTCTATCTTCTCTCCTAGTGCACACAGCAGTCTTTATTTCATTACGTTTTCATATATATATATGAAATATGGTGACTTGATCGCCACCGCAAATCAGTTGACCAATCAAAGACTGCTGTGTCTCAAATATATACTCAAATATTTTTGAAATAGGAAATAATAAAACAAAGAAAAAGAATGAAAAAGATAAAGATAAAATAAAAAAAATATTATGAAAAACAAAATTGTATTGTAAAATGAATTACAATTAAAGGAATAATTAATGATTAATGAATATTCTCTATTTAAAATGCTTCAGATTATCAGGCTTAAATCATGTTTATTGCACTTTAATTATTGCATACACAAAAAATAATGAAATAAATACTGATAAATAAAAGAAATATTAAGAAAAATGAAAATCAAATTTGAAATGAATTACAAATAAAGAAAGACTTAATGAATAAAACAAATACTGAAAAAAATATTTTAAAAATATGTAAAAAAAAAAAATGTAAATACAGAATAAAAAAATGTATAAAGAAAAAACAATGAAATAAAGACAGATGAAATATAAATATTTAAAAAATATATATATATATTTAATGCAAGTTACTGACTGGTTGAACAAGCTAAGTTGACAAAAATACTGAATCCAAGATTTGATGATAATATAGAATAATGAAACATTTACAAGCAATTTTTGAAATTCCGTTCATTTCTGACCGCTAACACAATATTTAAAAAAAAAAAAAAAAAAAAATATATAAAAATACCACAATGGTCAAAAAACGAATTACGTCATTTCTAAAAGGATCATCTGAATTTGAAAAATTCCAACAAAGGAAGCTACAAATAATTTAAATAATTAGAAAATGCATTATTTTTTCACTGTTCCTGTACCATTTGCGTCACTCAAAGGGAGCCACGCAGAATTCATCTCTTGAGGAGAAAGAAGCTGTAGTGTTTCAGCAAACAAATTGTGTTCAAGGTTAGTATGACATGTTAATGTTTTAAGCAATTATTATAATCACAGAGATTTACGCAGCCATGATGTGATCTTACATACATTAATTAGCTCTTCTTTGGTGTTAAAGGACCAGGTTTCGTCAAACAGTCCTCCTGATCTGCAGAGTCTTGTGCCGCTAGACAAGAAAGAGAAGGAAGAAAAAGAAGCCTAATTGAATCACAAAGCCAAATGTTGTGTATGTTTCAGTGTTGGACTGGGAAGTGGAACAGGGTCTTGGAGGGAAGCAGCCGCCAGAGGAGTACAGTCACTGTTATAAGAGGATCATCACTGACCTTCTGTACATTCTGAAAAATTAATATGCATCACAGTTTATAGACCTGCACAAAGGAAGACCTGAAATCAAGCAAACCTTGCATCAAGCTCAGCAGCGTTTCATACGCAACATTCACCTCAAGGTCGGTATCTCTCAGTCTAGATATCTCTAGCTAGCCACGGTACTGTTCAAATATGTGGGGCCAATAATTAACAAAAAAAAAATGAATTAATACTTCTATTAATCAAAGATTCATTAAATTGATCAAAAGTGACAGTAAATACATTTAGAATGTTAGAAAGATTTCAATTTCAAATAAATGCTGTGCTTTTGAACTTTTTATTCATCAAACAATCCTGAAAAAAAATATCAGTTTCACAAAAATATTTTTGAGCATCGTTTCTTAAGCACCAAAATAGCATATTAGAATGAAAATTCAGCTTTGCATCTCAGAGATATTTGAAAATGTGTCATAATTGTCTTATGCAAATCTGAATGTATAAAGCATCGTTAAAATCATTCATTAAATCTTACTTTCAAGCTGAGACACACTAATATCCATGAGACAGATGTCAGCTGGGGAAGTGAAGTGAAGTGACGTGACATGTGGCCAAGTATGGTGACCTTATCCCATCCAAAGTGCACACACACCGTGAACACACACCCGGAGCAGTGGGCAGCCATTTTTTTGCTGCGGTGCCTGGGGAGCAGTTGGGGGTTCAGTGCCTTGCTCAAGAGCACCTCAGTCGTGGTATTGAAGGTGGGAGAGAGCGCTGTACATTCACTCCCCACACCTACAATCCCTGCCGGTACGAGACTCGAACCCGCAATCTTTGGGTTACGAGTCCGACTCTAACCATTAGGCCACGACTTCCCCGTGGCCTAATGGTTAAAGGAAGGGTCTGAATGCCAAACACAACCGATCTCATCAGTTCTATGTGGAACGGCTCTGCTCACACTTCTAGCACACTGTCACTGCATCCCTCAACAAGTAAGATGACACATTCTTTCTTCTATTCTTCATCTCACTTTATCACTGTTCTTCTCAAAGTGTTGCTTCAGACTTATGCAGGTCTGTCAGGCTCAAGGCTCTTTCGACATGCAGAGGAAGGAGGTTTCCAGACTCCGAGTTCAAGCAGAGATTCAGCGTCATGTCAGGTTTGGGAAAACACTGCGAGTCACAGATTCTAACATGGTTCAGTTTTATTTGATTACTTTCAATTGCAACGTAAATAGTCTTTCTTTTTCCTTGTTAGAGCACAGGGCTATGCGTTCAGGCAGGACTTTCTGATGCAAGTGAAGCGTGCACTTGAAGCATCAGCGTCCTCCCAGAATGCTGTGCTGTTACTGGGGTCTGGAAAGAGCATGACACTTGCCAAACTGGCACAACTCATAGCTGGATACCTGGGTAGGCAAACAAAGGGAACATGAATGAAAACATTTTAAAGTAGTTTTAGAAGTCTCTATGCTCACCAAGGCTGCATTTATTTGATCAAAAATACAATAAAAATTGTAATATTGTTCACAGTTTTTAAAAGATATTATTACAATTTAAAAGAACTCTTTCCTGTTTTAATATATTTTAAAATGTCATTTATTCCTGTGATGCAAAGCTGGATTTTCAGCAGCCATTACTCCAGTCTTCAGTGTCACATGATCCTTCAGAAATCATTCTAATATGCTGATTTGGTGCTCAAAAACATTTATTCTTATTCCTATTATCTATATATTTTATGGAAACCGCAAAGAATCCTGTTTTTTCAGGATTTTGTTTTTTGATGAGCAAAAAAAAAAAGCATTTATTTGAAATAGAAATCTTTTGTAACATTATAAATGTCTTCACAGTCACTTTAATGCAACCTTGCTGAGTATTCATTTAAAAAGGAATGGCTAAAGGTTGTTATGTTCATGATATAAAGTGCCGCACTGCTTCTTCTTATTCAGTTTTTGTGTTTCATTTATAGGGATGCCAAAGTGCTGATCTGCTTTGTGGGTCTGACATCTGACAGCAGAAACGTACGTCTGCTCCTCCAGACCCTGTGTCTGCAGTTAGCCAACATCTATAGCCTCAAAACAGAGATATCTGAGGTACATAAACACTTTAAAAACCAATCAAATATTCAATTCACCGTATTGGATACATGATATTGTGAGATTGCTTGACTATCTCACAGATAGTGCTGCACAATGAAATACAGTCTATGTTTTTTCCTCACAGTCACTGTCAGAGTTATCCAGTGAGCTGTGCTCATTGTTGGGCCTGGTGACAGAAAACTGGCCCTTGACCCTGGTGCTGGATGGTCTGGATAATCTGAGTAAGGAACACGAGGCTGACATTTCCTGGCTTAGTAATACCTTACTGCAGTGCCAAACGTCTTCACTGTTCTGTCTGCCAGCACGCAATCTAAATGTGCTCTTATTCTACATGTAAGCAGATGGGTCATAGAGGATTTACACTACCATTCAAATGTTTAGGGTCGTTGAGATGTTAAGTCTCTTATGCTTACTAAGGCTGCATTTAAAAAAAATACAGTAAAATAACTGTTTTCTCTTTCACTGTATTTTAAAATGTAATTTATTCCTGTGATGGCAAAGCTGAATTTCCAGCAGCCATTACCCCAGGCTTCAGTGTCACATGATGCTTCAGTAATCATTCTGATTGGCTGATTTTGAGCTCAGAAACATTTGTTGTTATCATCAGTTAAAAACAGTTTTGCTTCATAATATTTTTGTGAATACATGTTTTTTAGGATTCTTTGATGAATAGAAAGTGAAAAGGAATAGCATTTATTTGAAAAAAAAAAATGTTGTAACACTGTTTTGTCTAAATACACTTTTTGTAACACTACGGTTTTTTTAACAGAAATCTTTTGTAACATAATTAATGTCTTTGCTATCACTTCTTATCAATTTAATGGGTCCTTGATGAATAAATTCTAAATAAATTAAATTCTTAAAAAAAAAAAAAAAAACGCACAACAAAACTAAATACCAGACTTTTGATTGGTAGTATAGTTCTGAATATGGCCCAGTCTGGTGCACTTTAAATATTAAATATTTTAGAGAAAATATTTTATTTAATTATAAAGATGTTATTTTATAAAAAAAAAATATATATATATATAGTGAAGATAATGATCAAAGGAATGATTGTTTTTTAAGGGCAGTCAGTTTCTTGTCTCTTTCTCTTTTTTTCCAGTCCCAAGTTAAGGTCAGTGTCCTGTCCCTACCCGCCCTTAACCATGAGGACATTACATCAGGACTGGTGTCAAGACTAGCATCAGATTTTTGCCAACTGACTGAAAACCAGTGGAGCCTGTTATTCCAGTCCTGTCTATCCTGTCCATCCCCTCTCTACCTCAATGTAGCCTATGCTGAGACCAGGAAATCGAGTTACTTCACACCAAAAGAGAGTCTCAAAATCCCTACGGATCCAAATAAACCTTTTTGTTAGTTTGGAGCGAGAACATGGGCTGTGTTTGGTGCGACGCACGGCTTTGCTCATATCACTGTCCTGTTCTGGTGTCACAGAGGAGGAACTTTTGGTGCTTTTGGGGCGCGATGATCATGTCATACGTGAGATGGTGGTTTTGCATCATCAGACCCATCCCGTTTCTGAATACTCCCCAGTGCCTTATGCATTTGTGGCACGACTGCTGCATGGTCTGAAGGGGTACGTCACAGAAGTGGAAAGTGACGGCACGTGGGTGCTGCGCTGGACTCATACAGAGTTCGCCTGTGTCGTCCTGCAGCGATACGCACCAACAGCAGACTCAATAAAAGCTGTACATACAGACTTTGCAGATTACTTTAATGGGAACGTCCCAAACAGTCAAGTTTTCAGCCGCTAGCCTGGATCAAGAAAGAGAAGGGAAGGAGGTGCTATGAATTTAATTTGCGCAAGCTCCACTGTTTGCCGTATCATTACATCCACTCCAAGCAGATTATTCCTTTACTCACAAAGTGTCTGTTTAACTACGAGTTCCTGCTGCATAAACTGTGGGCTCTGTCCATCTATCATGTCGAGGAGGCCCTTAAAGCTGCCGTCATTCCAGAGAAGTATGATTATGAGCTCAGCAAACAAGTTTTTTTTTTGTTTGTTTTTTTTGTTGCAGAAATAGCTGTTTGATATTATGGAGTTAAAATAGTCTAAAAATAATGTGCCATATATACATAAAATTATGTTTTGAGTTTATTTCTATTATATATATATATATATATATAAATATATATATATATATAGGGAGAGAGAGAGAGAGAGAGAGAAATATTAAAATTTCTATCATAAATAAATGTAAAAATGGGGAATACAGGGATAGTTCACCCAAAAATGTAAATTCTGCCATCATTTATTCACCCTTATGTCGTTTCTGTATGACTTTATTTCTTATGAGGAGCATAAAAGAATATTTATATATATACAGTATATATATGTCAAACATGAAGTCATATGTCTATGTACGTGTTGTTTCAGGTGACCCAAGACAATACTCTTTTCTGCATGATCTGTTGGCACTGTGCAAGAGCTCTTCTCTACCAGTTCTCGTGCCCTCTTACACCTGTCTGTTTCCTCCAGGTGGACTCGTACACACCCTCCTTTCAGGTACACATATTGAATTTCTGGGGATCTACTGGAGGATCAGTTTCCCACCATCACCATTCAGTCAGTGATTTTGGCTTAATGTATGTCCAAGTTCTGATTCTTAGATTTTAAGTGTATTTTAAGTGCCATATACATGTAAAATCATACATGACACATTATTCTCAATGGCACTGGTCAGACTGTAGTCTGAGAGCCTTGGGTTTCTTTGGGAATATCCTAGGGCAGTGGTTTTCAACCTGTGGGCCGCGGCCCACTGCAGGGGGGCCGCCAATTACTATTAAAAGTAAATGAAATGGCAGATGACATAAGTCAGAAGTTGGTTAAAAACATTCGATAGAGTCCCTTTTATGCCCTACAGTTGGATGAATCGACCGATATAGCAAACCTTTCCAACCTCATTGCTTATGTACGGTATGTACATAACGGAGAATTACAAGAGGATTTCCTTTTCTGTAAGTCGCTGCCGACTCAATCAACTGCCGAAGCCATATTTGATATTTTGAATGCATTTATTGTTCATTGCCAGTTCATTCAATAAAGACAGTTAACAATCTAGCTTCTGAGTACTCCGTTATTAACCCAACAAATAGCGGGGTCAGTTAATTTTTTTGCAGTGGGCCGCGGAAACATATGTGTTTGGTTGTGTGGGCCGCCAGTTGAAAAAGGTTGGGAACCACTGTCCTAGGGGGTTTTAAAATGATGGTTTCAGATTTATGAGTAAATTAAGGTCTGTGGTCAATATTACATGAAGAGACATAAAATACACACAGTCATAACTCCTATGTGTGAATTTTGAATTAACTGTATGCTTAAAAAATATAAGTTAAGTTACCAGATACATACTACAGCGGTTGTCCAATGAGGTCAGTTGACAAGCACATAAACTGGTGCTTCACACAAAAAGTAGGGAACAGTTTGGCTTTGAAATGACAAAATAAACTCTACATCAGTGTTGTTATTGTTAACTAAAACTATTAAAATAGTTCAATTCAGTAATTGAAATAAAATGTAATATAAACACAGTATATATTTTTTATAAGAAAAATTGAAACTTAAAAAGAGAAACTGAAAAAAAGTGTAAGTAATAAATTTACTAAATCTAAATCTGAAATAAAAATAAATAAGAAATATTAAAATAACACATAACAAAATGACTAAAACAAACTAAAATTAAGATGAAAACCAAAAATGGAAAAATAAAAGCTACTTCAAAATATAACTAATAAATACTATGATATGCTGAAATGACACTGCTCAACATGCTATCATTCTTCTAGGACAGTGTGTTGTGAGGAGTGAAAACCTCTACAAACCTCATCTAAAATCACTCCCAGAGATTCGCTTTTTAAAGAAAGCTAGCTTATTTTATTTTTGATTTCTTAACACATTTCTTGCAATTCTCGAATACATGGACTGCTAATATGGATTTTATTCATAGTGCCAACACTACTGCCCGCTTTCTGCAAGCAGAAGAAGGAAGTGAATTTATGCGGTTCGACAAATGAGGTGTCACGTGGAATTAAGCACACAGCTGTCTTGTTAGCATTTTTAAGGCAGTGGTTTCAAAATTCACGTTTGAGAATTGGTTGTGTGGAATGTACTGTTTGTTGCAGAACAACAAGTCTTTTGAAGTGTTTTCAACCACACGTTATTTTACAATTTCTGTAAAATTTCTGCCTTTCTGAAAACCCATAGAAAACTCCATAGGGAACCCATGGGGAATTATTCTTCCATTTTGGCCTACAGATTGACCTCACGAGTGAACAGATCTACAACCTGCAGTGGTTTATGACCAATGCATAGAACTCTAAAATAAGATTCTTTATCACATAATGGCTGAATGATCTGTCCTTAACATCCTGACTCATATTTAACTAGGTCATATGAGTGCTGTGACAGCTCTTGCTCATGGTCGGCATGACATCGTTTCATGCTCCTCTGATGGATTGCTAAATCTGTGGCATCTGGATGAGCAAACAAGACCCGCGAGGTCCTTACCAAGAGCTTATGGATCTGCAGTAGACTGGGCTGCTGACTTGGCTCACCCTCTCTGTTTGGATGACAGTGTGCTAGTGCTACAGATGGGCCACTGCCTGCAGGTGAGAGAGGTGGATTCTGGGAAGGTGCTGTACATGGAGAAGGTTTCTCTGGATGTTCCTGTGATCACAACTGCCTGCGATGGACGGTTGCTGGTGGTTTTTTATGATGGAAGTCACCTGGTTAAGGTGAAACCGGACCAGTCTTCTTATATGTTCTGTACACTGTACAGCAAAAAAAATAAAAAAAATCCTGTTAAATGTACAGTAAAAATGGCATATTTTTAAATAAATTGCATTTAAAAATTCCATGTTTTTTTTATATAATTTTATATATATTTTATCTACTTGAACTACCAAATCAGCCTTTTGTCTTAAAATTGACTGATAACCACTTTAATAATACAGGTGCCACATGATGAATTAGAGTACTAAATACATATAACTAATATACATAACTTATATGCAATAAACACTGACTAAATAATATAAAATGTAACAAAAACACTCTAATGTAAATTACTGATAACAAACATTTTAATAAACTAACTATATAAATTGTAATCTTATGTGATAACAATAATTTACATGGTAATTTACAGTTTTTACCTGCATAAAAACATCAGTTTGACAGTATTTTACTGTAAAATTACATATAATGTGATATTCATCCATTAAGTTTTTACTGTATATGGTAACTTGCATTTAACCAATTAACAGTCATTGACATCATCAATGTTTCTCTTCCTCTGTATGTCTTTTATTTTGCTCCTAGGTGTTTGATCTTGTGGCATCCTGTTCACTGTTGTGTTGTGTAAACCTCACCCTCGAGTTTGAGCCCATCCACAAAGATCAGTCCATCTTAGTGTCTCGTCACTCTGTTAAAGACTATGTTCTCTTCGCCTACAGGTTATTACAGCACACATAACCACATGCACATTTAAATTAATTAATCATCTCAGTATTTTGTTCTTAAATAACAAATGCGCTCTCACATAATAATACAGTACATATCCAATTTCCAGCCATGTGTGAAAACAATGCCGCTGTTCTCGGACTGATTTATATTGTCTGGTCACACAATGTATTATTTAAGGGTCTGCTTCTCACCCAGCTCTAGTGTGTGTGTGTGTGTACGTGTTTGCGCTACTGGTTATTTTTCTTGTCGGTGGTTTCGTGTAACACTGTAGCTATAAAAAAAGAAAAATTGTGTAAAGGCTTTCCCAGAGGCTGTTTATCTTTCTCATATTTCATTACATGATTAAAAAGCATGGATTAATCAGGATAGATGACTGAAAGGAGTAATGAACCTTTGCTCTTAATGTGATTAAGCTGGAAGCATCACATGCATGCACATACACCCAATTCGGTTGACTAGTAATATGAAAGTTTAAATTTATTAATATAACAGTAGTTATCAGAGCTATGGACACATGCAGCATTATACGAGGAATAACGATCAGGATATGGCCCTTGTTGTATGCCAGTTCCCTTTTTTTTATCTCTCTCTCCCTAATGATTTCCTATGTCCTCTCTACAGTCTCTGTCAAAAAATTTATAAAAAACAGCAGGAGCCATGTCATGAGAAATCAAATACTTTGTGCTAAAAGAGTTCATTGTACTGTGGAAACATACTGACAGAACCCCAAACTTCCTCCCCAGTTCAAAATGAAACTAAGCTGCAAATGTTTTTTTTTAATACTTCAGCAGCTTTCTGACCACAGATAGATGAATACATTTAAGCAAACTGCCCACATTTACACGTCAGTGACTCCTGTTGAGAGTTCAAAAACTTTACCCATAGGATAGATGCTATTATTACTAAACATTGGAAGAAGTATGATAAGAGAAAGATATGGGAAAGTGTGCCAAACTTTGTGCTGTGTCCATTTGCATGTAGCACCTGCTGCGCTGCTTGGTCTCCTAAGGATCCCAATGTTAGGAAAAAGCAGCTGAAATGTATTTCAATCTGAACTTGTTTCTGTGCCACATTTCAGCACAAATTATTTTGTGAACGTGCCATAATGTAACAGAGGCTTTGATTAAGAGGATGTTAATAAAGGATGGCTCAGTTAAAAACTATTTTGGGCTTGGCATCAAACATGCAACTTGTGAGTAATTAAAGCGCAGCACTGTTACTCATGTCACATGCATAAAAATCTTGAAAATATATACACTACTATTCAAAAGTTTGAGGTTGGTAAGATTTTAAAAAGATTTTTTAAAGGGGTCATATGATGCGATTTCAAGTTTTCCTTTCTCTTTGGAGTGTTACAAGCTCTTGGTGCATAAAGAAGATCTGTAAAGTTGCAAAGACTAAAGTCTCAAATCCAAAGAGATATTCTTTATAAAAGTTAAGAGTCAACCACGCCCTCCTAAAACGGCTCGTTCTAACACACCCCCACATATCTACGTCACTATGTGGAAATATTAGCATAATGCCGCCCAAATGTGCACGCAAAGAAAGAAGGCGTGGTTTCAGGAACAGCAGTAGTGTTGATGCAGCCATGTCAGGGAGACGCTGTGTGTTTCAGTGCAAAAGCACTTTATTTGTAGATGCAATTAGGAATCATTGGTTAAGATTTATTTACAACAGAACAGCACAACCTAGATGTTCGAATTTGTGCAACGCATTTTATAGACGATGCACAAAGGCTATTTCAAAAAAAAAAAAAAGGGGGTCAATTCCCTTTGCTATGACAATCTGGGGCTTCTGAATCAGAGCGACTAACAACATTATTAACTGTCTTGATATTTACTTTGAAAGCTGAAGCGATTATGGTAAGGGGCGTTACATTTCCGACGCGTGCTTGTGGTGTTCAGCCAATCACAATGCACTGGGTCAGCTGGCCAATCAGAGCAGACTGCGCTTGTCAAAGGAGGTGGCTTTTTTGAAAACTACGTGTTTGAGAGAGGCGGGGAATAGAGGACCTACAATAATGTACAGTATTGGAAAAATAATGTGTTTTTTGAACATTAAAGCATGTCAACATATTCTGTTACATCAACTACACAAAATAATGATCTTTAAAATAGCATCATATGACCCCTTTAAGAAATCTCTTTCGCTCACCAAAATTAAAAGTTATTTGATTAAAAATTACAGTAAAGATAGTAAATATTGTGAAATATCATTACAATGGTTTTCTGTTTTGATATATTTTAAAATGTAATTTATTCTTGTGATGGCAAAGCTGAATTTTCAGCATCAATACTCCAGTCTACAGTGTCACGTGATCCTTCAGAAATCATTCTAATATGCTGATTTGCAGCTCAAGAGACCTTCTTCTATAATAATACAATTAAACGGTTATGTTGCTTAATATTTTGTGGCTTTTAGGATTCTTGAAAAATGAATTCTTTTAAAAAACTAATTTACGACTGGTAAAAAATGTTTGAACAAATATTATATGTGAAGCCATACCTTGATGCTATTTCTTGTTTCTTGCTTCAATTCTCATTTGCAGGGATGGAGGAGAGGCGGCAATATTCAATGCTAAAGGTGGAGTTGTGTCTCTATACAAGCCGTAGAGATCAGCTCTCAGTATTTACTGCTCTTCTGCAGGTAATGTTAAATAATTTACCCAAACGTGTGACCCTGAGTCTTTACTATCTATTATATCAATCTCTTTGGTTTTTACAGATACCCCTATCAAAGTGAAATCATTCACATTGAACTCTTCAGCACAGCATCCTTCCAGTACCTGCGCGCTACCTTGGGTTGCAGCCAGGACTACATTTCACAGGTCACATTGTGGCATTTTGTCCCGCCCCTCACAGTACCATCACAGATTATTATCTGGAACCTTGAGACTGAAGACCATAAACACATTACACAGTTTCCTGGCCTGTTGGCTCATGGTTAGTCAATAAACCTGTTAAATATTATGGCCTCCAGCACTGAACAGCATTATGACTCTTTTGTCAAAACAAACACACACTGTTTGAGTTCAGTCTCATTACTGTACTGCAATACAGCATATATCATTTAAATAATAAACTGTTTATATATAATAGTAGCATTTGTTGTATTGCCTATAATTTATACAGATACATAATACATTAAAAAATAATAACTAAAAGTATTTTGTCCAGACCAGTGTTATTTTAATATTATTGATATACTACCATAGTTTCGTTATATATTTAGAATTAGAAGAATTAAAGAAATGTTGTTTGGCAGCTAGTTTGACTTTTTTTTTTTCAGTAAATATTTATTTTTATTTAAAGTAAAAATTATTTGATTTATGGTTTTAGTTTTAGTTAACTATATTACCCTTATCCAGTCAAGCAGTAAAAGCTTTTCATTGATCACTGAGAATGATGAGACAAACAACCTTGAAAGTAAAACACCCATATATTACAGTAATGAGAATTTAGGGAGGAAAATTCATTTTCATGCAAATAATGAAAGCTTAATTTCATTAATACAATTAAAACAAATCATACCTCTAAGGTAAACAGCATTATGCTTTACAGGCGCTTTCACTACTTTGACACGTGGCACAGGAGCCGTTTTAGCCATATCTGTTGTTCATGTTATTTTTTCAACTCAGCTGTATTTGCATGTATGTGTCAACAGAGTTCTTCTTCACCATATTGCAGGTGTGTGTTCTGACCTGCGGTACTGTGTAGGTTTCTGTCCCAGGGAGTGATTCTTACGGATGTGGAACCTGGGATCCAGAATAAATGACCAAACACTCACATACAATGTGCACAAAGCACATAGCGACGGCACAGCGTTGATTGTAACCATGCAGAGATATCCAAGGTACAAAGTCCTCTGAACAGCTCACATACATATGGCCACTCTATTTGCAGTTTATAACTGTAAACACAATGAGTTAGCACGAGATATTTTTGAGGACCAGAATGTTTATAGCCATTTTCTGTGCGTAATATAACAATAATAACCTCAGTTACTGCTACTGTTCTACAGACACCACCTAGTTTTACCACGGCAGTGAGATTTCTGTAACGGTACTAATGAACTGAATGTGTTTTCAATACACAATAACCAGGTTTATTTATTTATCAATACATTTGTTCTAATATCATACATTTTAACTAAATGAATATTTCTTGTCCCACAGCTAGCCATTTTTATATTTTTAACGGTATTGAATTCAATTATTTTCACACAATTAACAGATTTATGCTTATTCTAAACTATTTCAATAAATGCATTTTGGAAATATGATTATTTAAAGAAAATCAAATAGATGCAAAGTTAATAAACTATGCCATGATTTTTTTTGAGTGCAGAAGCCTTACCTGTTTCATTTATGTACAAATATTCATGACAAATATTCATCACATTAAGTTTATTAGTTTATGTTAAAACTGCGTTATCCAAATGAACGGAATTTTTATGCAATTCAAATACATGAATCTTAATTTAGGCCTTTTTTTTTTTTTTTTTGATTGTTATATGTACAAAAATAAAGCTGTGTTTTGGTGGAAAGTTTTAAAAGTTCCCTCTGAATCAGGTATGTAGTGTGTCAAAGCACCTGTCCCGGTACTGTGAGAATCCAGAATGTGGCGCGGACGCAATTCAAGGGTCGTCCTGTGCAGGTGGAGCATGGCCTGTTCTCAAGTTCAGAGGTCGCTCTTGTATGTGTCTATATACTGTCTGACTGCGGTACCGCCAACTTCACTGATACACCTACATCTGTCTACCAGGTACTTCTGTGCACAACACAGACTGAAGATATTACACAGGACCTATTTTTATTTTGGTCTGAAAACCCTGTCCTGACATCTGTCACCTGAAATTGAAGCTGATTGTATAGTTGTTTGCCATTTGAGTACATCTGATTATGTTTTTCAACCATGCTCACACTTGCATCAAGTCCATCTTCAGTAATGTCTCTAATTAATTAAAACACATTGCTTTCGGTCACTTTTTTGGTGACTCATGAGACGATTGTTGAAGGATGAAGGACCATTGTTGTGTTCAAATACAGTTTACACTAAAATGGATCATTAGCTATTAATGATCAGTGTAATTTTTAATTTATCAGTAAATCAATCCGATCAGTAAAATGTAGAAAAAAATAAAAAGGGACAAAAATAAGCAAAAATGAAAAAAAGAGAAAAGCAGTGTTATTTTAGTAGTATTTATATAATACTATAGTATTTATTAATATTTTGAATTAGCTTCTATTTTTATATTTGTTTGTTTTATAGGTTTTAGTTTTTATTGTTCTTTTTTTATATTTCAATTTGGCTTTATTTTTATTTCAGTTTTAGTAATTTTATTCCATTATTTGGGCAAAACACACTGAATTTTTCAAAAGAAGCAAGTAAGACATACAGGTTTTGAACAACATGATAGTAAGTAAATTATGACAGAATTTTTCGTTTTTGGGTTTGCTTGAGTGTTTCTGCATTATTTGAGTGGCTTTGGAATATAAATCGAAGCACGTTTCAGATGAAAAAACGTGGCTACTATTTCTGAAAATATCACAGTTAGGAGATTTATATAGAGTGGTTCTCTGCATTATTACAGCAAAGCGCGTGATTGGTTGATAAATGAAGTTAACCAACTAACATTATACATACTCTTTTGGTTTCTGTACCCAATATTTAAAAAATGCAATAAAAATATCAGTAGCGGTACTCGGTATCGCCAAGTACCAAAAATAAAAGTATCGGTACTGGGTGAGTACTGGAAAAAGTGTTATCGGTGCATCCCTATTAAAAATTGTCCTGGCTATTCCAAGCTCTATCATTGCAGTCAGCGGGTGTTGCAGTTGAACAGTCCA